ACAAGAACCCCTGACCCCAGGGCCATGAATTTCACAATTTTTGTAGAGGACTCATTGCTGGTTACAATCATACAAACAGTTTGACTGCTTGATGTCCAGGAGTAAAGAAGAAGATTTTTAAAGATTGCATTAATTTTAGTGGTTTTGGTCCCATCCCTCAGGCCCCAGGGGGGCAGGGATCATGGAATTAAAAATTTTTGTTCCCCTTTACCCATAGATGCTTTGTGCCAAATTTGGTTGAAAATGGTTCAGTGGTTGCAGAGAAGAAGCTGAAAATGTTCAAATGTTAACGGACAACGCACAACGCACGACGACGGACGAAAACAGATAGCAATAGGTCACCTGAGTTTACTCAGGTGACCTAAAAATGTTTAATTTTTTTTCTGAAAATTCAAAAACTTTAAAATAAAAAAAAATGGCCTTAAAAATGTAAATTGTAATTGGCATATGAACCAGGAGCAAAGGAAAATATGTTTAAAGAATTCATGCATTTTACTATATACAACTCTTATAGCACCACCCTTACACCAGACCCAGGGGTCCTAAAATTCACAAATTTGCAAGAGGTAGCCCTTTTCAACATAACTATGTACTTAGGTAGTTTATTTAATGCCTAGGAGTAGAGAAGAAGATTTTCAAAGAGTTTTTGCAATTTCACTATTTAATCAATAGAGCCCCACCCTAGCATCTCATAACCCTGACCCTAGGGCCAGGAAATTCACAATTTTGATAGAAGCAGCCTTATTATATACTTATTTTGTTTATTTGATGCCCAGAAGCAGAGAAGAAGTTTTTAAAGAATTTATACATTTTCACTATATAATCTATTTACATTTAGCCTCGCCGTAGCACTAGAACACCTGATCCCAGGGAAATGAATTTCACAATTTTGGTAGAAGACGCAATGCTGATTACAATCATGCAAACAGTTTGACTGCTTGATGTCCAGGAGTAAAAATGAAGGTTTTTAAAGACTGCTTTAATTTTTGTGGTTTTGGCCCCACCCCTCAGGCCCTAGGGGGAAGGGACCATGAAATTCACAATTTTTGTTCCCCTTTACTCATAAATGCTTTTTGCTAAATTTGGTTGAAATTGGTGCAATGGTTTTAGAAGTTAAAATGTGTACTATTCAAACAACGACCACAACTCTTGACTACAGTTATTACCATACATCCCGCCGTCACATTCTTTAAAACAGTTTTTCTTAAGTTGATTTGGTTTAATGTGAACATTTTACCGATAGCAAAATAAATAAGTGAAACTGGGTTGATACTGTGTAGTAATTTAACAATATAAAAGTAAATTTAATCAAGCTTATAAAGAAGCGCCGCGGAACGTCGATTTTTCTTATTTTCCTATTCGATGTTTGTCTTAAGTTTACAGTTAATTCTGTTTATAAGCAAAACAAGAAATATTTCTACATGATCCCTATCTATTGATCATGTTGTCGAATATGAATGGTAGCATATCTAAAGAAAAGGAAATAGCCAGGGTAATCTGTTTAGTAGTGAAAAACCTTGTTTTTAAAGTGTTACATGCTTTTGTTATTGCTAAATATTCTTCTGTCTCATATCCTTTACAAATTATACCCTTGTAAACAGATACCATTAACATGGTGGCACTGTGTATCATTAAGACAATTTCCACAGCTTTGACTGCAGTTCACACCGTACATTCCACCACTACATTCTAAGTGCAGGGCCGTAACTACATTGAGGCAACGGAGGCAATTGCCTCCTCTAGATTTTCATTTTTTTTTTTTGGAAATAAGAAACAGAACACAAGCAGCTGGATCAAGATTGATCATTTATTTGTTTGATTATAGCCACCTGAGCAATTTTTCAGCTATCCAGTGAGTGTCACCATTACCTATGCTCGGCGTTCAGGGCCATTGAGCAGAGCGGGATCTTTATCCTGCCACAGCTGTGACACGGGGCTTCGGTTAACTTTATGCGGTCTCATCCGAAGGACCAGTCCCCATGTCCCATAGCGAAATTCGAACTACGGCGATCGATTATTTTAGAACTGCATTTAGTACAGTGAAAACTATTCAGAATGAATCGACGGGTACGATCTTCCCAGATACCCCTATTGACTTAAATAATTTTATCTTTTTCTTGGGAAAAGTCAGTTTCGTATTTATCATTGTTTATATTTACATTCAGAAGTTAAAATTCAATTGAAGCATCAGATGAGTATTGTGAGTTAACGTTAGTTGGTTGGTTATTGATTGTTTTACGTCCCGCTCAATAATTTTTCACTTATATCGCATAATGAAAACGTCTCCATTATTTGATCATATCTATCCAAAATAGTACATAAATAGGTAATATAATAAAGTGGTAAGCATTCTCAAAATCAAGGAAATGGTCCAAAATTGAGCCGTTTGAAGCAATTTTTTATGCGGGGGGCTTCGCCACCCACACCCCCTGATCTTTGGGGCCTCAATCGGCGGCCCCCAAACCCCCGCCTCCTCTATCTTTTACCCCTAGTTACGGCCCTGAAGTTAAACAAATTAAGTAATAATAAGAAATCATATAAGATCTTTTGATATTTTTTACCTGTGTTTAATATAATAAGTATAGAGTATTTTTAAAGGGCTGAATTTGAAGTTTAATACTGGCAGATTTTAAGAAACATGTAAGTTCTTTAAAAATAGTTTGTAAAATTACTACTTTAGGGTTTATCTTTGCAGGAATTATTTAAAAACATAATACAAAAAAATGCATTTAAATTACTGTTGACTTTTTTAATGAACAAAATACACGATGACGTTGACATTTTACTCTTGATTTACTTTTGATCTTGTTGTTCATTGATCATGCCTGCTCTGAGCGTTTAATTAGACAAAATAAAGTTTAATTAATATAAATCACCACTAATGCAGAGTAATCCGTTGTATCCGGGAGAACATCCTGTCAGGCACGATATGATATGATCCCTATTCTTTGATCATATAGTCGTAAATAAAAAATCAACATTTCAAAAAGGAAACGAAATAAGGTAATCTGCTAAGAGTTGAAAAGAATAAAGAAAAATAAAAGAATCTAAATTTAAAGCATGAAAAAGGTTTCTTACGCTGTGTACAAACCAATCCTTTGTATCCAGTTGAACACCCTTGTAAACAGGTACCATTAACATGGTGACATTGTGTACCCTGTAGACAATTTCCACAGCTTTGGCTGCAGTTATTACCATAGGTCCCACCATTACATTCTAAGTAATATAAATCAGGAAATTCATTATAAAATTACATTTTAGATCTCTTGATTTCTTTCGCTGTGTATAATATATATTAAGTATAGAGTAGTTTTGTAGGGCTTTGTGTGTTGCTACTTTTAGATACATATTCAATTATTCATCTTTGCAGGATTTAGGTACAGAAAGAACATTAAAATTCAAATAATATTGACATTTTACTTTTGATTTGCTTTGGAACATGTTATAGTGTATAAAGTGCTCATGGCTGATTTTCGTTTTTAATAAGAAATAAAGTTTAATTAATATAAATAACCACTAATGCAGAGTAATCCGTTGTATCCGGGAGAACAGCCTGTCAAGCACGTTCCATTGATATGATGACACTGTGAGCCGTCACGACAGTGACCACAGCTCTTGGCACAGTTCAAACCATATCTCCCACCGTCACATTCTGTAAATAAAAACAATACAAATCATGTATTTTTTTAAATGTAAACTTGTCCTTTCCTGGCTCAGGAAAAATCAAAAACATTAAGATATGTAGGGGAGTCTTTTTTACTCTTAAACGCAAATTTGAAGCTGAAATAGTTAATAATTGGACAAGGTAACAAAAATTAATTTTAAATATATACCTGGAGGTTAAAACAACTTGAAGGTGTTTAATCAAGACATTTAACTCGGTTGAAATATGGCACACTTTCAACAGAAAGCCCTTTTTTTCATTTCATCAAGTGAAGTTATTAATAAATAAGTATATTAAAGAAAGTATATATATAAATCACATCAATTCAAACATCATAAAAAAAAATTCAATTAAAAAAAATATTCTGTCTGCTTTATTTGCATCATTTCAAACTTAAGTAAACATATTTCAATCCACATCGATGACTAAAAATGGATTAACTTTTCATGTTCTTTTTTTATATATGTACATTGTATCATATTCCGTCAACAAATATGTTCTGGAAAAAAGATTTTCCCCCACCTAACGACGAAATATTTTACCATCAAGTCTAGAGAGGCTAAGCATACATTATTTTAAAGTTGGTCCAATGTTTATATTTTAAGCAAGTGTACCAAATATTCCTAGTTCTTACTTTTCTTACAAACAGGACCCTCGTATCCGGCAGAACATCCTTGTAGACAGGAACCATTGATATGATGACACGCTACGTTACCAACACAATGACCGCAAGTCTGCCTGCAACCATCGCCAAACAATCCACTGTCACATTCTTAAAATATATGATATTTTTATGATCAAATCCTAAGCACGTCTAAAAAATTATTAATGAGTAAACACGTATATATAAGTACTTTTGATAAATGCAAGAAAAATAATCATACGTTCATGTATTCACTCTTTATTCTTAAAAGAGGAATGAAATCATTAGTTGGTGTGATAATGCAACAAAATATATGTATCTGAAAACGCTGTCAATCAGTTACCTGTGATACAGAAAGGACTTTTATATCCTGAAGAACATTCATTCACGCATGAACCATTCACATGGTGACATTTTGATCCATCAGAACAGAGTTTACAAGTTTTGTTACACATCAATCCGTAGGTTCCACCCACACATTCTACCAAAAAGTATCCAGTATTTAGTAAATCTCATATAAAAAGCTAATTGGAATGATTTTTGTTTTTTTCTATACATCTGTATGTCAACTGTCAATGTCTATTCCCAGAAAATCAAATATGCCAAATGTGTTTACCATTTTAGTTGGCGTTTCATGCAATGCCATTAACACAATATTTACGTGATTGAGAAAAAACTTGACACTGATCTTTATTAGACGTTGACGATATAGTTTTTCTTACTATTGTTGCAAAGAGATCCAACATATCCGGCAGAACATCCTGCTTGACATGTGCCGTTGATATGATGACACTGTGTATTACCATAACAATGACCACATTTTTGACTGCAGGTTGCTCCAAACATTCCACCGTCACATTCTTTTTGATAATTATAGAATGATTAATTGTATTGTACATATAAGATCCGCGTTTAAGAAAAAAAATATCGCTCTCTGAGTTAGTTATTTACTATGGTGTACAATGTATACATGTATAACACAACTTATCAGAACAAATACATGCGATGCAGAAAGTTAAAAGAAATAGACAAACACAATGTACACATGTATATATTTCCTCTCTGTGTCATATATTTCATTACATTTATTTCGGAAAGGTTCTAATAAAAATTGTTAACAAATAAATTAGTAAATAACTTGTACTAACTTTCACTAGAGTTTTGCATCTGTTTTTGCTTAAAACGTAATATATTTATTACCTACACAAAAATAAACCTGCATATTAATTCACCACTTACTCTGTCTACATTGAGGCCCCTCATATCCACTTGAACATCCCATGAGACAGTTCCCTGTTAAGAAATTACACCTCTGTCCAAGACAACTGTCCGAACACGATTGTTCGCAATATTTTCCATAGTATGTAGAATTAGGACATCCTGTTCCAAAAAGATAATATCACTGTTATCATTGTTTATTTCTTTTATAAACATCCATGTTGTATATCTACATGTATAACAGAAACAGAAAATGCAAAACTCACCATAAACTTCAAATTCACACAATTCATTAAAAGCAAATGCGGAGTAGTAGTCTGGATAGTGATAGCCAGCTCTCCTCTCGTTGTAGTATATCACATAACGTCCGTCAAATGGACAACTTATAGTTTGGTTTTCTGTGGGTGTACCGTTATTTTTCTGTATTTCATGAAAACATTCAATACCGTTGTCTTTGGAAGTATCATTTGAAATGTAGACGAAAAAACCAGCAAATCGACTGTAGAATGCACCAGGGCCTATATAGATTGAAATGTTCGATAAGAATGCTATTGCTTCTTTCTTGTAAACAACTATGATGTCAAGGAAAAGTCGCATCAATTTTGGCATGCCATTAAAATAGAACGTTATTTAAAATACAAATTACAATTTCAAGAAAAAAAAAGCGCAGCATTATTGTTACCAACTTTGAATAAAATGAACCTTTGCATTTTTTTTCTTACGCTAAAGAAAAAAAGCCCCCTAAACATAAAGAAAAACCAACATTATGTCCGATTCTCAAGTAACAATAGCTAACAAGTACATGTATCACACTTACTAGGTTTATTACCAGTCCTGTAGTAGATGTGGATGTGACTGATGCTGACTATCCTCCCTAGATCTACATACCATTTTGCCCTCACTTGATCGTTTGCCGATAATGTGCATTGGTTTCCCCATACTGAGCGGTTAGAATACTTCCCATCTACTGCCTTAGAGGCTCCCCAGTCTGAAGAATGACCTGGATAACCGTGTTCCTGCCATGCTGGTCTCCGCAGGGCAAAATTATCTTGTGAATAAATGAAAAACAAGAGGCCCATGGGCCGTATAGGTCACCTGAGCATCATGCAACAACTTTACAATGATTGACATTGGTTCATGTTTTAAACTAGACACCATGGCATTCACAATTTTGAAAAAGACATCATAACTATACACTTAGCATGTTTAGTTTGGTTACTTAATACCCACAGACAGAGTAGGGGAACAAAAATGCATTTCGACTGATCAGTAATATTCAGCAATAATCAATATAGTGCCACTACCCACAGGCACCTGACGTTACTTATTTTTCTTTTAATAAAAAAAATTATACCCTTACCTTATAATAAACAAGGTACCCAAGGCGCCATCTTGAATTTTTTTAGGCCAGCCACATCAGCACGATTTTTCGCTCGAAACGGAATGACAAGATAATTTTGCGATCCTCTCCGTGTAGCGGCAGGTCCTTCAACATCTATACTTACGACATATTCAACCAAATCAGCACATTTCGTTTGCAATTAATTAAAATCTCTCCTCGTTTTCTATCTACTGCTTCAGATATGCGAAAAATCGCCAAAGGGGGCCGGAAGTTTACATCATTATGTTAATGGGAATTCCCTGCATGAATCTGATTGGTTAACATATTGAAACAGAATAGAAGCTTTGCGGGAAGAGCACCATGCTTACCAAAGAACAGTCGAGGGCATTGAATTTAATTGAAAGTGGACATAGTTGTGTAATTTTGGGGCAGGCGGGGACGGGAAAGTCATATCTAATAAAGGAAATGCTTAAAAGAATTAAAGACAAACGTGCATCCGTAACCGCTAGCACGGGTTTGGCGGCACGACAATTCCAAGGCGCCACAACTATTCACCACTGGGCAGGGCTAGGAGATGGAAGGTTTGAAAACCAGCACTTATTAAAAATCCTCAGTGAAGAAACCAAGAGCAGAATTCAGAAATGCGACTTGCTAGTCATAGATGAAATATCTATGATCAGTAGGAAAATTTTTGAGAAGGTGTGTATAATTTTGTTTGAGAAAATGAGAATGTTGCCATAAATATTACCCTGTGTATTTTCTTATAAAGTGCAATTATATAAGCATTACCATGGGTTACTATCACAAATATTAACGTTATAGAGCCGTTCCGATTTTGTTTTTACGTAGCAGACAGTATTTCCGGTTTACGGGAGAAAAGTAAATACATCTGATATCTGAGTTACTAGGCCATGTCTATCGCTTAGATAACCTTACAAAATTTAAGAGAGCTCTTGGAATAATCTAGTTTTATACTGAGAATGTTTGCACCGACATCCGTGTGAAATTAAATGCACATTTGTTTATGTTGAGGAGGTACTGTTTACATATAAATACTAAAGTAGGTAGGCCTAATAGACGAATTTCACATTCCTTAGAGTTATCTCATTTGTTGAAATACCTACATAGCTATTAATAGCTACAGAGGTAGAAATAGTCTTTGGACTGTACCTGATTATATAAGGCCCATTGCCTGATTACTGTACATGTACATGTATGTTACTCACTTACTGCCAAGCGGTTGTTTATATCATTATTTGTAAAATGCATATCGATTTCAAAGTATATTGAACGATGCAGTGCAGCAATAGCTCTTTCCAATCTTACTGTAAATCTTAGTTATTCCCCGCTCAACTATATATAATCGTCTATTTTCTTTATTTAGCTAGAATTCATCTGCAGGTCAGTTAAGGAACCAAGCCTATATTTTGGTGGATTGCAGGTTAGTAATTTGAATCATCAATGCACTAAAAATTGCATAGCTTTAGATATTGCTGTTGATTAAACCTAGAAAATAGGTTCCATATATTATAAAGGATAATGGTAAATGATAGGCAAACTAATAAACATGTAAATACCGGTAAAAGGTGATTATTGTCATAAAACACTAGATAGCCTATGATTTTAATATGTGTAATACAAGTCTAGTTTGTGAGAATCATGGCATTTTGCAGAAAAGAAGATAAATATACAATAATATTCTGTTCTTAAAATATTTTTTTAAAATTCCCAATTATTCATAGGTTGTGTGTGTGGGTGATTTCTTCCAATTACCACCCGTCCCAAATGACTTATACAGGGATCCTGGAGATCATGCGTTTACTTCAGATGTATGGACAAAGACGATCACACACATCATAACACTTAAAACAGTAATTCGTCAGAGTGATGAGGACTTGATCCTAGCCATCAATGAGTTAGAGCGGGGTGTTCCAAGTCACCAAACAAACCAGTTGATGCTTGCCTTAGAGAGACCTTCGACAAAAAGCAGTCCCTGTTTTCTATTTGGTACAAATTTTGAAGTGGATTGTTTCAACATGACAGAACTGCACAAAATGCCAGGAGAACCAACAAGTTACTGTGCTGATGAAGAAGGGGAGCAGAAATATCTAAGAAAGATCATCGCAAATAAACTTCTTTTCCTTAAAGAAGGTGCCCCAGTCATGCTGATTAGAAATCTCTCCGACTCTCTAGTTAATGGGTTACTGGGAACTGTGCTAAGGTTAGAGGACGATGGTCCAACTGTGAAATTTGAAGACAAAATAATTAAACTAAACAAGGTTACATTTAGTGTATTTGACCCTGCACAGTGTGCAACAATAGCACAAAGAAAACAATTTCCTATTGCTCTGGCTTTTGCCATGACTGTTCATAAGTCCCAAGGGCTAACTTTACCTAATGTAGTTGTGGATTGCAAAAATATTTTCCAAGCAGGTCAGATGGGTGTGGCAGTTGGGCGTTCTACAGACCGTGGAGGGCTCTGTGTGAGGAACTACGATCCAAAGTGCTGCAAACAGCACCCTCAGGCTGTGAATGATTACTGTTCATCCTTGGGGGTTGTTGCCATAGGAGATCTATCTTGCTGCCAAAAAGTATGTTGATAACGAATTTGTATAAAGCATGCTTTTACTTATGTAAAGAAAATTATTTATGCTATCAACTACCGGTAAATGCATTACGCATTTACAGTGTATTTAACAATTTTTTACATGTAGTTTAAAACTGATATATTGTTATAAACTAAAAAGTTAACAATTCATTATTGTTAAGGTGTTTATTTTTATTAGGTGTTCGAAGATGGCATATTTGAAGAAGACTTCTTTGATACCAGTGAGCATGGTGACATACATGTATATGTGGCAGAAAATTCAGATGAGTCTGACTTTGAGGAGGATGACATGAAAATGATAGAAGAGCTAGAAAGGGTTCGCATCATGCTTTTGAATTTGTCTTAATTTTCTAAACAACAATGTCTACCTTTTGAAATATAATTTATAATAAGTAACAGAGACAAACACTCAATGAAATATTTAGAATGACAGGAATATTTTAAACTTTGTACATTTCTAGCATAACTATTTGAAAGTTTTGTAGCTGTCATGAGACAGTAATACCCGCACTAAGGTGTTTGCCTCTAAATGCACACTTCTTCATATTGGGCTTAACCAAGGAAAAAGCAGGGGCGGATCCAGCAATTTTTGAAAGGGGGGGGTTCCAGGGTTATGCCCCTCTAACCCCCTACATATTCTCAAGCAAAGATTCACAGACTTGTATGGAAAGATCTAAGGTTGTGGTAAATACTATCTATGTTTTATGTCCTTCAAAAAAAAGCGTACCCCCATTCCGAACAAAATAAAAACAAAGCAAAAAAAAAAAAAAAAAAAAAATAAAAAATTACGGAAGCCTTAAAATTGAATGGATTCGTTTCACTGTTGAAGATTATAAATAATTTTCTTTAAGAATTTGAAAAACCTTTTTGGGGTGGGGTGTGGGTGGGCTTTAAAACAAAGAGTTACATGTTAGTTCGTTCAATTGATCATGATATGATAAAAACGGTACATATTTAGCAAACACAGCCAAAGATCGCGGGAATCTAATATCAAATTAAACCTCGCAACCATTCTCTCATAAAAAATATAATAGAGAAGGTGATTGGAGGAAACTAAATGTGTGAGAATCTATCTATTCAAAAAATAAGTAAGACTTATAAATATATAATCTAAGAAAACTTTTTATCCTCTCTCTCTCTCTCTCTCCACTTGGCAAAAAATAAAGGGGGGGTTCCAACCCCCGGCCCCCCCCCCCCCCCTCTGGATCCGCCAATGAAAAGTCAATATAATTCAATAATTTACATAATACATGTATTCATCAAATTGAGCATAATATGCTCAGGTGACCATGTAGCTGCAGATCTGGTTTTATATATTTGTCTTTGATCATAACGCTACAGATCCCCATATGCAAAAAAGGTGCAATTTACGCGCAATATTTTTTGAGCACTTTTGGGCAGAATTTCTCCACTTTCTAGCATTAGGCAATCAACTACCTTTCACTCCCTAATTTTAGACACATTCTCTGGCCAATATGTATATTTTGTCCACCTCCCAGCCATTTATAGTAATCTCTACAGGCAATAAACTCGCTTGATGTGAATTTTCAGCAATCTAACAAATAATTTTAATCAAGCGAGTTTATCTCGAGTAGAGACGACTATAAAGGGTTGGGAGATGGATAAAATATACAGATTGATTAAATAATGTGCCTAGAATTAGGGAGTGAAAGGTAGTAAATTGACCGATGCTGGAAAGTGGAGAAATTCTCCCCAGAAGTGCGCAAAAAATATTGCGCCGTAAATTGCACCTTTTTTGCATTACAGGATCTGCAGTCAAAGACTAATATATAAAACCATAACGCTACAGATCTGCAGCTAGTGACCATGTGACCCATGGGCCTCCATTTTATAGGTATTTCATATTCTTAATTCATTACCAGTCGGAAATTAAACTACAGAATTAAATTAATGATGTAAATTAGGTTTGATAAAGGGGGGGGGGGATTTTTGGCACATAATTGGAACTTTTTAAATCTATTTTCTCATATAGATTAACAACAAATAATATTATTCAAATTAGTGTAAAGCGTTTTTGATGAATTTTTCAATATGTGCAAAGTTTATTTATATTTGATTAGGCAGAAACTTCTTGAAAGCTGCCATATACACAATCAATTTAATAGTCAACCCCCACCCGTCTCCCATCAACACACACACACAAACACACCTTATTTGTCTGTTTTTGCAAATAGGCCTAGATTGCAAAGCTAAAATAAAACATCTTTTGTAAATGATAATTTTCAATTTGTTCTTGCACTATACATGTATCTGAACACCTGCATCACATTGGGCTTGCGTCACGTACCCAACTTAAGTACTAGTTTTACCATTGGCATTATCATTTTAGATTTCACTGCACGTGCAGTAGGATACTAGTGTGCATATTTGCATATATGTCGGTAGGAATTATTTCATTTTGTGTTTTAACTGGATTATATTTCATGAAGATGACAGGGCCTAAATAATAACAATCGGTAAGTACAAGTTTTGGTATAGATTTGGGTAAAATAGTCTGAAATGCAAACGGTTAGGTTAAAGTTTAAAGGATCAAAGGTCATCCGATGCTACAATAGACGAATTTCACATTCTGAAGAGTTATCCCCCGTTATCAACGTTACATTCAGTTACAAGATCCAGAATTTTTTTTTCTTGGGAGGGACGGGGGGGGGGGGGGGGGGGGGGGGGGGGGTTCCAGACCAGAATTTCCTGAGAAGCAAGAAAAAAAAAGAAGTTATGGTTTGGTCTGTTTTCTAGGGTGGAGGGACACTTAGGGCATCCAAAGTCATTTTTTATTTCCTCCAGTACATATTATAGTCCTGCAAATTCCGGGGGAAAGGGGGGGGGGGGGGGTTGAGGGGGCGATCACCCAAACCAATACCCTGTCCCTGAAATGACAAATGATCATGTGACTCCTAAATAGGAAACTTTTTCCATTTGACTATACATAATATTGTGTTATTATGTTATGTAAATTTAATGGTATAAAGGTTATGAACCCCTAGAGGTCATCCCCACTCTCCTAATGAGCTGGAAATGTTCACAATATGACTGCAGTAAATTAAATAAAAGTGCATCAATGATAAGATTACTTGACATTTTATTCATGAATTTGTGTCAACATATCTTCCTAGAATTAGGAATGAGAATCATTCAGAGATGGACCACATTAAACTATTTGTATAAACATTTTTTTTTTGCATACATGAACAAACAGGGGTCTGGGAAGGGGTGAGGGGAAGGATCGAGTTAATATTTCTTTACGTCTTAATGGTTGAAAACTCCTAAAATGAATGTTGACCTCAAATCTAACTTGTCCTCATTATTTTTCAAATGGTGGTGTCTCCATATGAGTGAAAAATTCCTGAGAGGGATGTTTAACAACAAACAAAATGACATAAGAACACAATATTAATTTGCGTTAAGAAATATGCAGGGGATTTTTTCCATCATAAATCTTCTTCTCAAGAACAGCAAGGGCATATTCTTGTCCCCCATTTTGGGGAAAGGGAGGGGACACTAAATCTCATTTGTCTGTCAGTCTGTCCATCTTATTGACAGCTAGTATGTGCATCTGTCACAATAAATTTAACCTTGGTCATAACTTTTGAATGATAAGAGATAGTGCTTTCATATTTCACATGCACATTACCACAAAACTTTCTAAATATACTATGATTTTTTAACCCAAGTGAGACCTTGACCTTAAAGTTTTACCTACTTTCCAAAAAATAACATTTTAAATTGATCATTTTGAAAGAGAAAAGAAAGGGCATTCAAATTATACATGTTTATTACATGTGAAAAGACTTTTCTAAATATATCATGACTTTTGACTCTGTGACCTTGACCTAGAAGTTTAACCTACTTTTCAAAAATATTATATTGTATATATAACTTTTGATTCAAAAGAGATAGGACTTTCATATTTGACATGTACATTACCTGCAACAAAATGTTTCAGAGCATGCTATGATTTTTCCCCTTTGACCCAATTTTCAAAAATTGATATATGATAGGGGTGCATATTTGACACACAATCTGCCATAAATTATGGAATCTCATTCACTAAAACACAGAAAGCAGAGGACCACAATTCTTTGAAATTGCTTGTATAATCTTGATAGATGGAAACATGCTCATATAATGTAGATTCAAGTTTTTTATGCCACACCATGATTAGGAATACATGTATAGTTTTTGTCATGTCCGTCCTCCACCCTTCCATCTGTCTTTCCATCGGGCTCAAAGAAACTTTCTAGATATTTTTATCAAAGTTCATATGTTGATGCATACTGATGTAAATATCCAACTGCAGCAATATTTTTTGACTTTGACTTTTCCTTTGACCTTCACATAACTTTTCTTTAAATTAGTGTTTAGCTTTATTTTAAAGAAACCATTCAAGTTGTGTAATGAAACTTCACATGATGATACATACTGATGTAAGCTTTACGATGCTTCACTCTTTTTTACCTTGACCTTTCCTGTGACCTTGACCTCACTTTTCTAAAATTAATGTCTAGACCAGTTTTGAATAAACAATTCAAGATATATTTATCAAACGTCATATGCTGATACATACTGCTAAGAGCTATTAATACGTCAACATATTTTGACCTTGAATTTTCCTTTGACCTTGACCTCACTTATTAGAATATCATTTTTCGACACCATTACTCCCCCCGGGGCAAAATCAACATTCTAAAACCTTACTGCACATCTACATGACACCACCAACCATCTCCCAAAAGATGATTAGGCTACTTTGTAAAATGTAAGAGGAGTTCAGGGAAGACGGGGCTTTTTGCATAAAAAACATCATTTTTCGACCCCCATTTGACCCCCCGGGGCAAAATCAAAATTCCGAAACCTTACTGCACATCTACAGCACACCACCAACCATCTCCCAAAAGATGATTTGGCTACTGTGTAAAATGTAAGAGGAGTTCAGGGAAGACGTGGCTTTTTGCATAAAAAACATCATTTTTCGACCCCCATTTGACCCCCCGGGGCAAAATCAAAATTCTGAAACCTTACTGCACATTTACACACACACCACCAACCATCTCCCAAAAGATGATTAGGCTACTGTGTAAAATGTAAGAGGAGTTCAGGGAAGACGGGGCTTTTTGCATAAAAAACGTCATTTTTCGACCCCCATTTGACCCCCCGGGGCAAAATCAAAATTCCAAAACCTTACTGCACATCTACAGGACACCACCAACCATCTCCCAAAAGATGATTAGGCTACTGTGTAAAATGTAAGAGGAGTTCAGGGAAGACGGGGCTTTTTGCATAAAAAACGTCATTTTT